CAAACTCAAGAAAAACATTCATCGACAGCTGCATTGTCTTGGGCAGAACGCGCATCAAGGGCTAAAGCAGCAGCAGCAGCAGCACCAGCAACAGCACGAGTTTCTAAGACCCCAACGGGGCCCCCCACTGAGGCCTCACCGGGGCCCCCAAAGGAGCTGAATGCGGAGGAATCAAGCGGAAGGAAACCGCAGGAGCAGCAGCAGCAGCAACTAGCTGCTGCTGCTGCTGCTTCTAAGAGGGTCCCAATCCCCGCTCTGCCGTCGTTTGCTCGCGCGTCTGCTGAGCGTCCTGTGGTCGTATTAGACGCAGGAGCACTGATGCGAGTGGAAGCTTTAGATAGATATCGAGACAAATGCACGTTTATAACAACAGCAGAAGCTGCACAAGAAGTGCGTGATGCACTGGCGAGGCAACGCATTGCATCCCGTTTTCTTGATGTCCATACACTAGAACCCTCTGATGCAGACAGACGATGGGCGGAGAAGTTTGCAAGTATGACAGGAGATTTTCCTTTTTTATCTTCAACTGATTTAAGCCTTATTGCACTCACTTATATGCTGCAAAGGGCAACGGGGCAAACGCAACACCTCAACGCGAAACCCCCAGCTTTTGAGTTCTTTACTGAAACTGCATTGATGCAGCAACTGGAAAGCGAGGGATCTGGACGAGGTGTATGGACACTGCAGCGCAACAGCGGGCCAAGCCCCCCTGGTGCTGCTGCTGCTGCTGCTGGTGCTGCTGCTAAGACTGCAGCGGCAGATACAGATGCAGCAGAAGGGGGATTACACCGAACCCAACAAACAGAAGCGGAGAACGAAAACGAATCTGATAATGATGATGATTATGATGATATTGATGATGATGATGATGATGATGATATGGACGAAGAAGAAGGATGGGTGACAGAGGATGTTTTGCGGGAACATTTGGGTCTTGCTGCTGCATCGCAAGAAAGCAATCATAAAGAGACGAAACCGAACGATACAAACGCAGAAAATGATATAAATAAATTAAATAAATTAAATGCATCAAAAGAAATAGCTGAAACGGATGATACAAATACAGCAACTGACTTGAATGCATCCAAGTCTACAAATGCAGAAGATGTAGACATTTCGCTTTCTAATGCTTTCAGTGGTTTAGAACTTCGTGCAGAGAAACTAGAAATAGAAGGTCTTGTTGCATGCATGACTGCAGACTTTTCAATGCAAAATGTTTTGTTGCAAATGGGCCTCAAAGTCATCGCACCAGACGGCAGAAAAATACGCACCGTCAAGATATGGGCGTTGCTATGCAGGTTAACTATACACTTGAAATATATTAGAATAACCCTTTTGTTTCTCTCTTTTATCTTCGGTTTTCTCTACACCATATATAATAAATATAGTATATTATGCTCAGTTTATGCGATGAGAATGAAGTCGCTGTTGTTGGTGTACTCATCAATAGGATAACAGTATTTTCCTTTGAATGTTTACAACGACGCGTCTGCCGTTGCTACTCTCAGCTTCAGCCTTCTCCTGTTTCTATATCTATGTATATAAAATATATATATATATATATATATATANATATATATATATATATATATATATAGAGTTGAATATAGTTTTATTTGTTTGTTTTTTTTTTCTGTTTAGAGCCTGCGGAAACATCGAGCGAAAGACGAGTCTTTTGTTTTGTTCAAAATGCGGTCACTATACACTGGATCGAACTCCGCTGTATTTCGATCAGAAAACCGGAAAAATATTTATTTTTGACGGGAGAAAAAGAATATCAAAGAGGGGGCAGATATATTCAATCCCGAAAGATAAAGGGGGGAAACACCAAGTAAGCCGTTCAGATTTAGATGCTCCCTTGCGTTCATACTGCTCTCACAAAGAAACATACTCGTTTTTCCATGCAGTTTATATAATATTATAATATATATAATATTATATGCAGAAATAGTCGGGCCCTCTATAGTATTACTACCGCATGGTAGTTTGATTCTGCTCGCTGAAGTAACGCAAAAACGATATAAGGGAAACACGCATAGTTTCAGCTGCTGCTACTGCTGCTGTTGCTTCTGTCGCTGGTGCTGCTGCTGTGCTGCTGCTGCTGCTGCTGTTGTTGTTGTTGTGGTGGAGTAGAGGTGTGGATGACTCGTGAGAGTAATACACGAAGGAAAGAGGGAAGCATCCATATGAATGGATATTTCATTCACTCTCTGAACTTTTCTTCTCCTTAGGCAGGTTGTGGATGATCATGTGTTTCGTTTTGTATGGGAATTTGTTTTCTCCTTGTTTGTAAACGCATTTGGTTTTTGTTGCATTTTTTCTTCTTTATAGTATCTTTGTGTTGTATTTGTTTCAGAAGCCGATTATCCTCGCAGCAGATCAGCTGATGATGGGGGGCCTCGATCGCGAGTTGCGTCACAAGGAAAAACTATGGAGGAAAGACGTAGAAGCTAAAAACCCCTTCTCTCCTGTGCGTTACTGTATTCCTTTTCTTCATATACAAGAAGATAGTAGTATATAATTATCAGTGTTGTAGTGTTTACAATAAAATTTTTCCTGTCAAGAATAAAATAATATTCAACTATCATTGATGTAATATTTACAATAAGCTAACAACCTCGAGATAGCAGCCATGGTAGCCTGTAGAGTCAAACACGAAAAAAAACATTTCAGGTGTATATATGCTTTGTACTAAATCTTTTTGTGGGTATTTTATTTCTGTTTTTCTTTTGTTTGCTGCAGAATTATTGTTTAGAGGCCCAAAGCTGGCATATACGCTCCTTCACCGCCTCTGGAAGAGCGGCTGCTCCAGCACCGCCTAAAGTTAAAGTGGGGCTGGGGCCTGGCAACCCGAACTCAAATAGATGGATGAAAAACCACAACAGACGACGCAAATAAACTTGCATGCGTACATGCATGCTCGCATGCACACATGAACGCACCGAAGTACACGCATGTATGTGTACTATATGTATTTGCACAGCATATCAAGGACATATTCAGACTTGATTCTGCTTTGGATACAATACGAAGCTGTTCTGTCGCTCTGAAAGCAGCGAAACATGCATTTCTCGTTTATCCTCATGACGTTTAGCATTTGTTTTCTAGCGCNTCGCTCTGAAAGCAGCGAAACATGCATTTCTCGTTTATCCTCATGACGTTTAGCATTTGTTTTCTAGCGCCATTGCCTCCGTCTACGCAAAGTACATGAGTATACAGAAACCCAGAATAGTCCAGGGCTCAACACGACAGTCAACAGGCAACAGACAACAGGCAGCTGCAGCGTGATACGGAGAGAAAAAGACTGCCATATGAAGTCAGGTTGCGCTTAGACAGGGCGCTACATTATATATATATATATATATATATATATATATATATATATATATATATATATATATATA